AGTGGCTGTCCTATGATATCTTGCTTAAAGATTGACTTTATGAGAGCAGAGAAAATGATATCACAACTACATGATGTTTCACTTAACAATCGCTTAGTGATAAAGTTGCTGGTCCCAATTATAGCCCTTAAGTAAGGACTATCTGTAGAAGCAAGATAATAATAATAATAATAATAATAATAATAATAATAATAATAATGATGATGATGATGATGATGATGATGATGATGATGATGATGATGATGATGATGATGATGATGATAATGATAATGATAATGATAATGATAATAATAATAATAATAATAATAATAATAATAATAATATAATAGTAGTAGTAGTAGTAGTAGTAGTAGTAGTAGTAGTAGTAGTAGTAGTAGTAGTAGTAGTAGTAGTAGTAGTAGTAAAGTTGGAAGGTACCTTGGAGGTCATCTAGTCCAACCCCCTGCTCAGGCAGGAAACCCTCTACCATTTCGGACAAATGGCTGTCCAGATATTTAAAGCCAGGCTTTTTTTAATATTTAGATTGTTTTTAACAAAAGAAGGATAGTGACTAAAACATTTTTGATAGAAATAAACAACACAAGTGCTCTTTATTATTAGGAGGATTAAACTTGCCAGATTTTAAAATTGACAAGCATATTTTTTGGGCCTGCTCTAAAGTGCCTTTACAATTATGGAGAATGTGTCAACATTTCCTAAATTCCCTTTCCTGTCATTTTTTTTTAAAAAAATGAACATAATGTAGAGAGCTGCTTCAAGATGAAAAGCACACTTAACTCTGTGAGGAGAGTTGTTGGCTACTTTTTATAAGCATCACTGACTTACAGCTTTAAGAAGATGTTTCAAATTCAGCACCTCAGATAAGCATCATGGTTGTTTTTAAATATGGTCATTTCCCTAAAATGAGCATTTGCTTAGCTGGAACTGTTCACGATCCAATGCTTTTAAAGAGATGTGTGAGTGCTTTGATAACATCCAAGTTTTTGTTACAGAAAGTTGTTCCTAAAGGGCTAGGAAAATAAATGTGTGTTTGGAACTTCCCAGGTGCAGGACGTTTACATGATGATGGTTAGTGTTTCCAAAGGCTGAAGGTTAACATAACCTTTACAAGCCCAGGTTTAGGAAACGCTTTCAATAGCTTTCACCTCTCCCAGGAAAAGGTCCTTGTTAATCCATCCAGCAGACACCTGCGCACTCAGCCATCTCCTCCTGCAGGTAGGTTGACAGTATTTACATATTCTTTGTGGTGATGTAAGGTAACAATGAAACCCAACTCTGTGGCCTTAAAAATATACCAGGGTCTGGGGGTTTCATTTGTAGCTGAAACTAAATGCTTTTAACAAATGTTGTTCCCCTTCTTCTGAAATTTTCTAAGTAGGTTACAAATTGCCACCTCTCGCTATGTGGCACTTGGACAGACAGAGAGGCGTATTATGTACTCAAGTAAATATTTGCAGTTAGATGTTTCATGTTTGCATTCTTCACCGTACAGCCCTTATCTCTGTGAAGTGGCACAAAAGGAATAACTAAAGTTACACTTTCTATTACACGAAGCCCGGCAACTTCTTAAGAAAGATAGAAACAGCAGGGAACACTTTTTTAAAAAGTTTCTGAAAATGTTGAGTTTATAAAAGCCATTGTCACATTCAACAATACAGACATCCTAATGTCTTCTGAAAGAATTGAGTGTTTACATGTACAAACATATATTCTATAAAAGAGTCAAATATTAAATTCTGCCTTGTATAGAATATTGAATAAACTATATTTGCAAACCATGAAGTTTATTCCTTGATTTAATTCTAACAGTAGATTTTTTAACTCAAAGAATTAGCACAAGACAGCAATTGTACTGTTAAGAAAGAAGGAAGGGCAACTTGAAAACCATTCAAACCAACATCTTAACTGAGTGAAAAACATTTATAACTATATGCTTCTAAGATGTACCTGTACATTTTTCCGGATTTTTAGAAACGTAAAAAAAATACAGAAAAAACACACCAGATTGGACATTTTGCATTTTTATTTTATCAAGAACCATTCTCCTACAACCACACTATATGTATGACTTGCGTCTCTATAAGCCTAAGACTTGTAGGAAAATCTGTTGGCACGGAACAAATATTCTTAATATTTTGTCCTATATCAATCAGTATTATCTCCAAACACCAAATATAAAGTTAGGGAGGTTAGAAGGATCAACACCATATAGAAAAACATTTGTCTTCTTTTTCTGCCATGATTATACTATTATCCCATGCCTGTTGTTATTCTTTGGCCCAGAGAAATTATTACCAGACTAATAGCAGGGTAACATTTTTCATTAATACTAGAATAAAATATAAGCCTCCTTCCTTCTAACTAACTCTGCGTCCTCCTGGCCTAAGGAGATACTATTTAGTACTAGAAGTAATTCACAATCCATATTATAAATGTCTCTGGAGATTCTCAGTCATCCCAAAGATGCTTTTTCACAAGGCAACTGGACTTCCTTGTTTTTCTTTGAAGACATTTCGCTTCTCATCCAGCTCTGGCTGGATGGTGGGGAATGAAAGAATTTAAGAAGAATGTTTTATTAAATCCTTCCATTCCCTCACCACATCCAGTCAGAGCTGAAGAAGCTTCTTGGATGAGAAGCGAAACATCTTCAAAGAAAAACAAGAAAGTCCAGTTGCCTCATGAAAAAGCATCTTTGGGATATCCATATTACAGGTTACAGCTAATTCTGAACTTACAACCATCCATTTAGTGGCTATTTGAAGTTGTATTGGTACTGAAAAAGATAACTTTTATAATCGGCCCTTGCCGATGACTATCACAGCATCCTCCAAGTCATATGATCAAAATTGCAGACTTGACAACCAGCATGTATTTACGACTGTTGCAGCATCCCAAGGTCATGTGATCACCTTTTGCAACTTTTTCAGCTGGCTTCCAACAAGCAAAGTCAATGGGGGGGGAACCAAATTTGCTTAACGACCCATGTGATTCATTTAACTGCAGTGATTCACTTAACAACCATGGCAAAAAAAGAGGTTGTAAAATCCAGAACAACTCACTTAACAATCACTTTGCTTAGCAACAGAAATCCTGGATCCAATTATGGTTGTAAGTCAAGGATTATTTGTATATGTGTAGACCAGCCCTCAAGCAGGGCTGTGGAGAAACAAGGTATTTCTGATCATTGCTAGACCTGTCTGAAATTGATGGATGTACCAATTTAACAAAAATCAGTCTTACCATGAACAGGAATAGATTGGTATCAGAAGAGCTGTCCAAATTAACATCAATGTACAATTAAGAAAAGTTATGGAATACCAGAATAGGAATATGTGTTTAGAAAGAGAAAAAAAGAATCTGTATAAAGGCTACCATCAGATACATTATGTTAATTAGGACCATAAGTTAGACAACACTACAAGAACTTTTCCTTACCAGCTGATCCCTTTCCCTAGCAACTGATATTTACTGTTTCTAAAACCTCAATATCTTTTTGGGTAGCAGAATTAACAATTACTTACAGATGCATTTCTAATTATTTGGTTTAATCTTTTAAAAGCATTTAAGTCAAATGGGCATGACACCAGTTTAAATCATGGATAGGCATAATACCAATGCAGGAAATTATGTAAATTGCACCCTATGTGAAGATTTCCCCACCAACCTGCAGGTGTTGTTTTTTGAATTTTCGGGACAATAGTGATGACAGTGACACCACAGCTTCTTCTGGGTAGGCGCAGCTGCTGTGCTCCCCCCGTCTTCTTTCCTAGCATCGATGTTTCCTTTCCCAGAATTCCTCAAGGGCCTGCTGTCTAGGAAGTTTGCTACACAGGAAAAGAAAACAACCATGAAAATAAGGCTAATAAATGTTTATGTTGCTATGAATTAGAAAAGGTTACAATATTTCATCAGTGAGTACATCTGTCATTTGTGTGTGTATCTGAGAAACATTCCTATTAAAGATCCTTTCCCAGGTTTGACTCTGGCATCCTTGACACTTATGATATTAAGAGTATTGTTTCCACTGCCCAATTTTTTGAAGCTGAGGGCAGTGGGAACAAGCTGATATTTTCAGCTATGTAGAACCAAAATTCTGTATGTTGCAAGAAAGTGAACTAAATTTAAATAGTTCTTCATTTCAAAAGACTATCTGATGGGTTGCTATAAAGGGGAAGCTTTAAACTTTTCCAAGTTTGCATTTCAAAGTCTGTGGCTAGCTCTGAGGGATGGTGTTCTGATACTTTTGCAACCAGGAACTGCACTGTGACTTACCAAATTATAGTAGAAACTATACAGCAGCATTAAACATAAAGCAGGTGAACATGACAACAACCTTTCTAGACTTAAGGCAATGGTTGATTGCATATATGAATACTCTTCAGATACAATCTTCTAGGTGAAACACAGATAGTCCATATTTAACAACTGTCTTGTTTAGTGACCATTTGCAGTCACCACAGAGATGAAAATGTAACTTTCCAACCAATCCTTACATTTATGACCTTTGCAGGTCTGCAAAGCAAAGGAAAACTGAAGATTGTAAGCCCAACCTAAATTTCACTTAATGATCACTTTGCTTAATGACTGAGTTGTGGGTCCCAATTGAGGACTACCTGCATTAGCATATTCATGTTAGCTTTCTTCAAACAACTAGTTGTAAAACTAATTCCTGATTGGGGATGCTTTCAATGCAGGCTTTAGACAGAAACTTTTTAAATATCTCAGCATAAGAATTTTTGCAGTCTCACATCAATTACAAGTAACAGATGGGTTTTTTTTCTAACTCTTTAGCACAGTGGAGAGCAGAAAATATTAACAGTTACAAATTTGAAGTCTGATCTTGTTTTATATATTGAAAATGTATTTATTTAACAAACTTACATGTTATCTTAACCAGAAAGGTAGGTGGCTTACACATTAGCACAAGCAGATTTCTTATTAGGATAATAAGATAATAAATCCTCTCTAAGGATTTTTTTTATATAGTACTTCTTTTATAAAACTTCTCTCACACACAATAACCTGCAATGAATTAAGTTTTGCATTAGGGCATTTTAAATTCCAACCTACAAAAGAGGACTTTTATATCAACAGATGTTAGCTTTTTGGGTCAATGGAACAGAGCCTTTTAAAACTAAAGCTCAATTTTCAGCAAATAAGCACAAAACTGGGATTGTGACTAACATTGTTATTCATGGACAGAAGTCTGACTTTTCACAAATGTTCTAGGCAGAGGTTTCAGACATCTGGCAAAGCGAAATAAAAAATATTAAAAATTATTAATAATGAAGAATAAAAAGACCAACGATATACATGCCTTATTTAAAGATGTAACTATTTCCCCACTTTTCTGAAAGTTATAGAGCAAGCAAATGCAATCTATCTTGTACATAACTTTCTCACGCTCACAATCATCACAAACATTTAGGAATTCAAACTAGTCAAGGTTAGGCACTTTTTAAGTCTTATAAAATTTAAAGCACTATTTCCCAGAGCAACGATAACTAATCTGTAATTTAGTATAGGCAGGTCACTGACTGTAGCAAATAATCTCTGACTGTAGCAAATAATCTATAATTCAGACTTGGCTACTAAACTAAAATAGTTCTTGTAAAAAAACAAAGAAACAAAAACACCATATGTTAAGCACCATCTAAAGTCTAGAGAAGAGTAGCTACTGGAAAAACATATTCTGAGGGGGGGGGGTTGTTAAGGCAATTTCTCAAGAGAGTTCCACTGATGTTCATCCATTCTTACATTCAAGAGACAGTTATAAGCTTGTATGAATAATTTTCCAGTTGATTAATTTAATAACAGAGCCCTTATTGTGTTAACATTTTTCTGTGTGGTGTGCTGTACCAATTATGATGGTTTGTTTTAATATTGTCTCCAGTTTTTCTGGTTTTATTTATTTGTGAGAATTCTTTTCATGATAGCACAACAGGCTATTAATTTCAACATAAGAAAACAGGATGTGTAATTTTCTTGACAAGGTAGAGAAGTAGGATCAGGAGGAGAGAGCCTAAATCCACTAGCTTAATGTGGATCCTGTTATAATGGCAGAGAATGTTTTCTACTGCAAATCTTAATGACTACAAGAAACAACAATGAGTTTTCACTTAACGTAATCTGCCAAATTCACTCTCAAACAGTACAAATATTTCTGCTTTTCAGAAATTCAGAGCAGCTGTTAAGTTTGGTTATGGTGGAAGCACCCTGGCTTCCAAATATTCTAACAGGAATTTAGTGGTATCTCTTTGTTCTTTTGGCAGACCGCCAACAAACTCAGAAAAGAGGTGGTTGTAAGAAGAATTGTTTAAGGCCATACAAAAAAGTGCTGTGTCAACTAACTAGTTCATACTTAGCTCTAGACAGAAGAAAAAAAAATCATATATCAGATCTTTTAATTTGCTTTGCAATCTATAAAGCCCTGTCTGTTTGCATGGATGTGTGCAAATGTTTATATGCAGAATTTGGAAATCTCAGAAATGGGAATTAAAATATAAAACAAATGCTTATCTATAAAACATGGCAATTTAACTGAAGCTAGGTTACAGGGACTGTTCAAACATAAAGAAACCAAGCACAAAGAAGTAGAAGTGGCTTTTGTTATTACTTCTGCACTTTTCCACACTACAAGGAGAAAGAAAGAACTGGAATCAGATATCCTACCATTTATCTAAACACAGGATCTCATCAATCCTATAAAGAAATTACTGAAGCGACATCAGGTTTCCTGTGCTCTAAGTACTTGGTTTATTTTATCAGTAGAAAACCAGCAGCACTGCTTTTGCCTGATGGAAATATCAGATTAGTGTAAATTTAACAATATTTTAGCTTCTATTGGAGAACACGGTGTACAAGAAGCAAATCTTGAAGGCCGGTGGAGAGTGTGAATGAGGGCTAATACATACAGATCTGACCATCAGATTTTAGAAGGGATATTGACAAAGTAGAACATGTTCAAAGGAGAGCTACCAAACTAATCAATGATCAGAAAAGAAAAAATTATATATGGTTGGAGATATGTTTAATCTGGAGAAAACTGTGGAAGATGGGATAGTTGTTTCCAAGTATCTAAAGCAGCATTTCTTACCAATGGCAACTTGAGGATGTGTGGATTACAACTCCCAGAATTCCCCAGCCACGCATTTTGAAGCTGCCAAAGTTGAGAAACACTAATCTAAAGAGCTGGTACATTCAAAAAATAGGCAGAATAATCCGACTTGTTCAAGCATTGTAAGAAACACTGTATTTAAATTAAAAGGCAGTACATGTTGATTAGATATCAGGAAAAAATTTCCTAATGATAACACATGTTCAACAATGGAAAGGGTCACTTTCGCTGGAGGTGTTGCAACTGAGGGTTAATGGTTACAAAATTGAATTAGGAAAAAATTAGGAAAAAAAGAACTTATCTAAAAACTTCCCCAAGTGAAACTGAACTCTTGGTGACTACATCCATGCAGTTTTCCTAGCAATGTTATAGATATATTTTCAAACTTCCCAGCTTTAACTTTACAGTCCTAGAATTCCCAGGGCAGTCCCCATTCAGTTACTATCCTTGGTTGATTCTGCTTAGCATCTAAAAAACAGCCAAGATCATCTGGGTGCTGCAAACGCTTGCTTCAAGTGAAATAACCTCTCTCCTGTCATAATGCCACCATGCATATTTTTTTAATAAATGCTTCTGACCTTCTTTCCCCTTCCTCCAGGATATTCTCTGATATATACTAATATATCAAGAATATATAATTCTTCCTTTAAAAAAAAAACACTTCCTGTGTAAAAAAAAAAAACTATAGTACTGGCCTTGCCTATTTACATTCATTTTCCATTGGCTTCTTACAACCATTCCAAATATCCATCCCCAATGAAAATCACATGACCAGACCGTAAAACTACTGTGCTGCTGCTAAGGGGGTTTCCATTAACAAAACAGACCACCGTATGTTGGGTTAAGCCCGCACCTGTGATCAGTTATTCACCCGTTAAGAAATGAAGCCCAGGCTAGGGTGCTTAATCCATCTCAGCTGTTCTCTCCCCAGCCTCTATTCTCTTTGATTGCACAGTTGGCAAGCAGCAATCTGTCTCACTAGGCAAAGCGCCACATGTGTGATGTTTATGTTAATTTATTTATTTATTAAATTTTTAGCCCTCCCATCTTCCCTATAAGGTAAATCTGGAGAGCTTACAACTTATAAAACACGTAGAAAAACAGTTAAAATATTAAAACTACACAGATTAAGATTTTAAAATTATACTGAAACCAGAACTAAGAGACAGGGATGAGGATCAGCCACGTCTTCCTTCATGTGATACTGACTACATGACAAAAGAAAGATGAAAGAAAGAGAATATAGAGGGGTTTGCAAATTGCCTATAAAGCCCATGTGAAATTTTATAGACAACTGTAATAATATCCAGAATAAGACTGATAGATAGGTAAATAACCTATTTTTAATAGGACTACGAATGTGATGCACATAACAAAAATCAACAAGCTTTGATCATACCATTGTGGCCACCATCTTGACTTTTTTTTTAAACCAAACTCTATATGCACCTACAAGAAATGTTAATTAAAACACAAAATACCTACCTACCTATCAGTATATATATTCAGTCTAGAACCAAATATAATGCAGTAATAGTAACAGAAGAGAAAAACTGGAGAAAATCACAAAATGCAAAGATCTACAAACAAAAGTAGAACAATTGTAGCAAAAGAAAGCAAACAGAGTACCAATAGTAATAAACCCTTGGGTGTAACCCCAAAACATCTGGACCATCACTTGAATACCATCAGCATTGACAAAATCCCCATCAATCAATCAATTGCAAAAGGCAGCTTACATCCTGCAATGATACCTTTAACACCATCAAACATTTGTCTATCCCAGGCCCTTAGAAAGGACTCAGTAGACAGATAAAAATGTCAAATCCAGTCCAAACATCTGGTTGGCTGTGCAGACAACCATAACATTTATATTCTGCCTGGCTACTCTGTAAAAGAAGGAAAGGAGGTTCAATCATACTTGCCAAAGGCCTGGGGAAAGGGCCACAACTTCAGGGTCCTTCAAAACATAGTAAGTAGGGGCCATTTGAATCTTGGAGAGAGTGTGCTTCTGAGTTGTCTATAAATGGCAGTGTTTAAAGGAACTTGGAGCATGCCAAACCCGCCAGATCACCTGGGCAGATATTATGGGAGACAGATGTTCCTTCAAGTAGATCTTATGCTGTAGTGTATAGGGTGTTATAGGTAGTAACCAGCACCTTGAACAGAAGTGTTACATGGGCATACAACAGCATGTCTATCACTACCTAGGCCACTGCAACCTGAAATAGTTGAAACTTCCAGGTGGTCTTCAAAGAGAGCCCCACATAGTTTCTTTCTCCACCTCCTCTCTTTTCCTCTTTTTCTTGCTGAGGCAAAAACTTGTTATAGTAATCCAGAAGCCATATTTGCAGTTTTTCTGGCTAAAGAATTTGAAGTATTTGCTCTTAGAAAATACTAAGAGCAATTATATGAATTACAAGGAATAAAGAATCTTTCACCAAGGCATCATAAATAACACCTTCCATAATGGTGTGCCATCTCTAGCATGCTTGCCTTACATTTTAAATCGTTTCATACCAAGCACAATATTTTTCAACTATTAGGCAAACCTTGTTTTCATTCTGAGGTTTTCTGTAATTTAAGCTATTAAACTTAACTATATGGTGCATTTTATTTGTTTTACAGCTGCCTGCAATTAGGTTGCCAATGTACTTTATTTTATAAACATGTCAGCAGTAAGTGAACATTAGAATGTATAACTGCTTTACAAATGATGCATAGATGTTCTACACAGATTCCATAATAAACGTAGGTTCTCCATTTTTTTTTTGAGTTACAGTTTTTCTTGAGTTACAGAAAGGTAAACGTTTTCCCTGTCCAGTCATGTCCAACTCTGGGATGATGTTCATCTCTGTTTCCTAGCCAAAGGAGCCAGCATTGTCCAAGGAAGTTTCCACGGTCATGTGGTTGGCATGACTATACGCCGAGGCACACTGAACACTGAAGTGGTACCTATTTATCTACTTACATTTGCATGCTTTCGAACTGCTAGGTTGCCAGGAGCTGGCACAAGAATGGGAGCTCATTGATCACCCAATATGTATAACTTTATATGCCAGTAAGCATATTATTATGCTTACAGCATAATAAAAAGATAACAAGATAATTCAAAACAATTAAAATATCAGAAAAATAAAGTCCAAGAAACCAAGAGGACAAGAAACGTGGGGGAGGAGATCTTTTTAGAATCTTTATTACAAATCATATACATAATTATGATGAATTGTGCCTCACTTTATTTTTTAATAATAAATGGCAGAATAGAAACTGTATAGAGACAACAAAAGGAAAAGACTTTGGTGTACAGTATATTGTCTAACAAATCTATAAAATTATGTCGGTGGACTTTTTTAAAGCAACTTTCCTTGAGCAATATTTCCTTTATAGCTAATTGCTCAGATACAGTAAGTTTGTGTAGAGGTGAAAGAGTATTTATCACATTCTGTTCTAATAAAGGGAAACAGTGAAACTCCTAGACAGGGACCACTATTTCAAACTACCCACATACTGTATGAAGGGTTTATTCTGATCTCTTCTGAGTTGCAAGCCAACAGATCAGTAATTATGATTAACAGTCTCAAAGATAATATGTTGATTTTTTAATTTCTTTTGCCTTAGGAGCAATTTTACTGCAGTAAAATTTGAAAGCTGCTTATCTACATTTTTAGCATAAACAGGAGTCATTCTATTTAAAAGTGCAAAAAATAGACTTACTGTTGTCATTCCATACTAGCTTTCAAAGACAATAATGAATAATGTGTTTTTAGCTGATGCAGTCTAACCCGAGATAAATAAATGGTAGGTAAGTAAATAACTTAAGCTGCTGTACCCACAAAAGGTCCATTTGTCATGACAATTCATTTAGAAAATCCACAATGGAAATTACAATTCAAAAGACTAAATCACAAAGATTTGTAACAAGATATGCCAAGTACACTTAAAATATGCCAGAATCAGATCTGTCTATCTGAGTCTAGAAATGTTTAAAGGTAAATCTGCTGGGTGCTATGGCTTTGCTTGAAACCGTGGTTTAAAAAGCAAAGCTTTTATTTTCAAAAATCCTACACTTTTTAATTGAACATACTATATTCTAGAAAAGGTTATCATAGATTTTTCAATGCACCTAAATATTTTAAAACTCAATTTTTTTTCACATTATGATACAGACGTTAAGTGGAGTCATTAGACAAAGGAGCATATTAAACCTGACCTCCGCCTTGTCAGCCATCTCTCTCAGCTTCTCTATGCATCCCAAGCACTGATTTAACTTTCCATGCAATGTTATTTCAATCATGCTTCTAAGATGTTGTTATATTCACATTTATGTATAAGAGCTGTGGTGGTGCAGTGGTTAGAATGCAGTATTGCAGGCTGACTCTACCACTGCCTGGAGTTTGATCTACAGTAACTGGCTCAAGGTTGACTCAGCCTTCCATCTTTCTGAGGTTGGTAAAATGAGGACCCAGGTTGTTGGGGACAATATGCTGATTCTGTAAATCACTTAGAGGGGTATGTATACCACTAGGAAGCGGTATATAAGTGCTATTGCTACTCTGCAGCTACTGTATTTAGAGTAACTGCATATTCATGTAGCATGATGATATTTTCCATATAGACCCACTACAATATTTTAGGTTAATGGGCAAACTTTAAATTTTGAGGCCTTATGAAGACCCATCCAAAATAAGGAAATTTAGAGAATTTAGACCCCATAGTCAAGATCCTGGAAAAATTGGATAATAGAACTTCTACTTCTTTGAAATTACGAGCTCTGTGCCTGAGCTCCCTTCCTGCTTTTCTAGCCCAACTGGATACTCAATGGAGTATTTTCTTTTCTACGAGGAGGGTTTGGAGATTCCACACATGGATAGTGTGTAAAAAATCTCTAAACTTAGGAGGACAAGTAAATTAATAATATCTCCTTTCCCAACTAAGCTTGTGATGCCAACTGTGATGACTACAATTCAAGCACCTTTTTTCTTTGACTGCCAGATCCCTTCATTCTCAAGGTTCAATGTAGTTCTTTTTTATCAAAAATAAGATAGACCAGCTCTTCGTTATAAAATGGCATCCTATATTAAATATTTTACATTCAAAATATAAAAACAATTTATGTGTTGTATTTGTTGTTTGCTGTATCTATATCTCACTTGTTCTCTATGAGGTAAAAATGAGGGTTTCACCTAAATTTATTCCCATAATAACAACTCCGTCAGGTAGGCTGGACTGAGGTACAATGAGAACTCTAAAGCATGCAGGGATCTGCTTGTCTGAGTGAGGACTTTGATTTCACTCAATTATCTTCATATTTATCATTTTTAATAGCAATTCATTTTCTTGTAGGGAAGTAGTCCTGATAATTTGGGTTGGCTTTTTTCAATCTTTCATAGGAGTTATCTTTTAGAAACTGAATATATACCTTCAAGTCAATATTGACTCTTAGCACTGCACTAATACAGCTTCCCCAGGTGGATCTATTGTCAACTTCATCCTTCATCCTTTAGGTCTTCCATGCTGCAGTCATTGTTGCTGTAATTGAATTTATCTTTTTTTTCTTCTCTTCATCTTCCATCTTGCCATCACAGATGGGATGGGGGTTCTCATGCAATGTGTCCAAATTAAGATAATTTGAATCTGGACAGTTTGGAGATGGGTTATTGTAAACCCAAGGGCTCTGTGTAAAATAAATCAAATATGGCCTAATCATATTTTAAATTATCTTCCCCTTCAGCTCCAATGGATTAAATTAATGTTTCTGCTGAGGATCACTTTCATCATCAGTTCAGACGTTATCACTCATGTATGCTTTAATTTAAATTTTGTGATGTTTGCATGCATCACTTTGTATTTCCTTTCAATGAATTTAGGACAGACACAGTCTGTCTGGATTCTAATTTTGAACACATTGCTTTCTATTGCTTCTAAAGCTGTTCAATCTATATGCATACAAATCAGCACTTTAAATTTCAACATGAATCATGCTCACTGGAGCTATTTGTGTCCAGCATTCGGAGAACTATGAGTTGTATAACCCTGCAAAATTGTGGCAAAATGTTGGACTACCTCCAAATTTATCATTTCATTAAATTATTTTTTTATTCCAACTGGCTGCCTCAAGGTGATCATTACTCTGCTTCATGATAAACCCAAACAAGGAATACATGACTGCTGAAATTATATTTCTCCTGTTGCTTATGTTCTCAATATCTCTTTTTATAGAAACTCTGAGAGCTGAAATTGCAATTAATCTGGAAGACACCCCCTCCCTGTCCAGCTTCGAAAAAGACTGCAGTGTTATCAGTTGAAATAAACTAAATTATAATTCCTATTTCTCCATCAACAAACACAAGACCCTGCTCTCCCATTGCAAGTGTCAGGTGTTACAATGGCAGGCCAGAAGTGAGAATGCCCAGGTGTGCATTATGTCACTAACTGAAAACAACTCAGTTTGTCTGGAATCTGATCCCACAACTCACACATTCCTCTGGGCATTAAAAAAAACCCTCCCTAAAGGAATATTACACTAATGCTGCCGACTTCTTACAATTCTTTACAAACCATACCTCCTCCTTTCCCTAGATTGTGCAAAGTTGGTTTGCCCGAATATGTGGGGACTGTTCAACGAAAGGATTTTGATGCTCTTTTCAGTCAGTTCTTCTGGACATACAATGCACGATCTGTTTTAAAAATATTTCCCTATTGGCTCATTTATTATTTCAGTTTATATTATGATATCTTCCTAGTGTCTTGAAATACACTCGTATATAAATCACAAATATATCTGAAGTCCTATTGTCTTCTTATAATGATGTAGTACAATGGATTCTTTTCCTAAACAAATGCTGCAAACACACATATTTGCTAAAATGACACAAGTGCAATTCTGGCTTGTGAAAGTAGAGCCCCTGGCAGTAAATCACAATTTATTGTCCTCTAGGCACACATTAGCTTACGATGATAAAAATTATATGCTAATGCACCTGGAGGGAACTAGGTTGAAGAAATCTCATCTACAGTATTTTGAATGCAAAACATCTGTAAAAGCAAGTCCAAAGTATTAAAAAAAAGGTGCAAGTCACATATCACAAGACCATATGGAAGAGAAAATCCAAACATCCTAACCAAGTCACTCTACCTATTTTTGTCTTTACACAATTTCATTACGTCATTTCTTGTAATCCACAGACCTAACCAATATCTCCTTTTGTCTGTCTTCAATTATTTTCCCCACTTATGAATGCCTGAGCTATCACCATACACACAAATGGCTAGAGGTAATTCTTTCCCTTGAGAACACAAGGATTTCCTTTCTGTAGGGTGGAAAGTACTAGTATTGCCTTTCTATTTATGACTTACTCATTGTTTCTCAAAAAAAAATATGAACTGAGCAGAAATAAGGATTAGTATTATGTAGCTATAAGAAAAGAATATTAGAGGAATGCAGTGAGCCACATCTGATGTTCACAAGTAAGATGGTAGGTGGAAAGAAGACAGCCAGATTCTTAGTGATTGGGATAATGTAGTTAACAAAACCAAATGTGTATCCTAATAAAATAGTACGCTTAACACTTCCAATCCATTCTCAGGAGTCCTATTTACATTAACTGTTATTCCTTCAAGCATAGGATAAATAATTGTACTTTAGTGATAATTACAGTTTAGTATTTTCACTTTCCTTTACATTTTCTCCTGCAGGGGATAGAAACAAACTGTTTTCTTCACCCAGTATACCTATTTGGTATTATGGCCTACCGGTAACATTTTATCTCCTTTTTTACAACTTGCCCCTTGCCATTCCAATATTTTAGAAAAATTTGGTAGCTTCAGTTTATACTGCCTGATGCTCCCTGAGCTTGGTTGTTTGCTTGCAAATGTGTCATTACCTCACTAGGTAACATCATCAGTGCTTGTGAGTGTGGGATTTGCTCCCCATTTAAATACAAAAGCTTGCCTTGCCAAGATTTTTGGTGGTGTGACTTTCTCCTTAATCCTTGATCAGGGTATTCTGCTTGATTGTTTGACTGGTATTAATCTCTGCTGTTGTAGGCTGTTAAAGAGCATCTGTTTTGGTGTTTTTGTTTTTTTCTTAGCTTTTTTATTGTTTCTTTTGAGACAATATCTGAATGCCAAACTTCCAGGAATTTACTAGCATTTTGGGATTTAGCTTGGTCTAGGATGCACACAGCTTCCCAGTTGAAATTATGGTAGAGTCTGCCCATGGGTTATGTTATTAAGAACTTTTCATTATGTCTTCTGAACGCTAGTTGATGTTCATGGATATATTTTACTAGTCTTGCCGGCTATCCTACATAGAGGCTCGGCCAGAATAAGACATGCTCTACAGTGGTCTAAGATTGTACACATAAAACCAGACCATATGGCAGACTTTCTTTCTTACTTTACCTGTCAGAGCAGAGCAGGGGTAACAGGGATCCCACTTTGCATATGTAACACCCCCCCCCCCCAATTAAGAACTAATTTGTTATCAACCCCCAAATGGATTCAAAACAGTTTGAGGGCATCTGCTACAGGAATACAGCCTCATTATCTGCATCCTACTCTTCATAAACATATCCCAAGGTAAACTTTAATAACATAACAAAATAATTGGGGGAAGTGAATATTCTGGGGGGAAATTATCAATGATTCCACAAGGAAATTTTTTGGTAAAGACTTTACAGAATGATGGAAACTAAGAGCAATAAAGAGGAGTGCAGATTGGGAAATTTCAAAGAAAAAATATGAAGGAACACTATATTCTCAGGGCTCTTTTATGAACTGGCAAAAGGTACAAGGGACTTTATACCACTGTGTACCTTTCTCTTTGACATCTATTTATGATAATTTAAAAATACAAATGAAAACACATATACAGTCACATGAATAAAAGGTGGCTTTGAAGAATTTGAAGGTTTTTTTTTTTACGAAACTGGCACATAAGAGAAGAACATGAAAGACTTTGTTAGATTTTAGTATTAAAGAAGAAGCAGGAAAAAAAAAAAGACAAGCAGAGCCACACAACCTTTCAGAAAAGCTTAAGAACACATTGGCACAAGAACGTAGCAACTGTCTGTGACTCCTTAAAGCCCCTGGCTTTGTTTCCAGAGCTGATGGATATTTTAAGTGTAGTGTTCATGTTCTACATATTCCTAAACATTTTTTTCCTGAATTTTATCTGGAGCATTTCACAGTTCCTGCAGCACCACAAATATTTTCTAAATATGAACTTATGCACTTTGAAGCTAATATACTCTCCACAATAACTATGCAAAAGGACTCTGAAAGGGAAGTTTAATTGCCTATTAGGCTGTGTAGACTAAGTTCAGAAGAAGAAAATAAAAGACTATTAAGTAATATATCCCTAAATTTTTTAGCCAAATGTATTTCAACTCTTTTAATGAACTCAATAGAAATGCTACCTGAATGCTAATATTTATTTACTACAATAAAAGCAGTGGCATATTCAAAGAAGTAACTATGCTAAAGATTAGTATCCCTTACGTTTATATTACATTATGTTTTACCTAAATGAAAATACTTTTTATTGCAGCCGATACTTGCATTTCTGTTTCTCTCCTGGCAGAAGAATGAATGCTAACACTTATATTATATGTCTTTAAATTACTTGTTAGCAAATGGTCAAATCAGTTATAATTAGCAAGATTCCATCTAATTAAGTCTGTAAAATCGAAAACATAAAGTTCTTTTTATAAAATATGTTTGTTTGAGTTATGGCATTTATGGTTGATATTTGCATCTAAATATTTTCAAGTATTATACAAACATGCCTGAAATAACAGGCATGACAATTCAAAAAATGTGTGGAAAGCACAACTGATCCTTACTAAAATGTGTGGGATTCTGGAATCTTTTCAAAAGAGACTATGACAAACATCAAAGAGATTCATTCAACTGATCTACAGTGAGAAAAACTGTAATTTCCATTCTCTACTATAACTGATAACAGGTTTAGAATCACCATAATCTTGAAACTACGTTTCACAATCATATTTAACCAATAAATTGTTAAAAGGCAAACTTATTTCAGTTAATGTGCCCATGATAGAATATGCTAAAGAAAATTAACAGAGAAAACACAAGTGCAAAGTTATTTGATATTAATATCTTACTACACATATTAGCGTGTAGTAAGATTTTAACTTAATTCTTAACTCTTCGTCCTACACAGTACCTTCCATGGGAAAACAATTTCCAACCTTCATACCAAGCAATATAAGTAGCCCTTATTTAGCAACCACAATTATGACTGGAAACTCCATCGCTAAGCAGTGTGATTGCTGAGCAAAATATCATGTGATTGTAATGGATTTGCCATCTCATTTCCTCTTTGGTCATTAAGGGAAACATCATATGACTGGAACAGATTTACATTAAGCGAATTATATGACTGTGATTTATGATTTTATTTCCACCTTCTCTATTAACTCTGCTTGTCAAAAGCCCTTGTGAACATTCAAATGGCAATTACATGACCAC